CCCTTCTAGGCAGAGCCTGGGTAGGAAATTTGGTCATGAAGTTTCCTGAGAGGGGCGAAGAGTCCACCCTCCCATCCATCGGTCCATCCATCCATTCTCCCCCTCCTGGCGACGCCCTCCTGGACAGCCCCCGTGGACGTGGGTGCCGAGGCCCTCGGAGATGCGAAGCAGTTGATTGATTGTGCGCAGGATACGAGTGGATTGTAAACGACAGAGGACGCCTATGAGCAGCATGACGGACATGGGGGGGGGGGCAGGTGGATAAGGGGGGCGAGGGGGGAGGGCGGGAGGGGGGAGGGGGATGAGGAGGAGGAGAACGAGCAGGATGAGGAAGGGGGATGAGAAAGAGGAGGAGGATAATGTTTGTTTAACTTATATCCCGAGATCCTCGGGGAGGTCGCGCTTCTCCCTGAGCGAGACCAGCGCCGGCAACTCCGCGCCCCGCCCTGCCTGCTTCGGGGTGGGGTTCTTGTCCCTCACGTCGTTGGCCGACTTCAGCCGCGTCCAAGTAGTGCCCTGCATGGTGTAGCACGTGCGAATCGCACCGTGCACGACCGGGTGGGCCTCGATGAAGCTGTCGGTGGCGAAGACCTGCCTGCGCTTCTTGGCCGCGCACTCGCAAGCAATCGGAGCCCCCTGCTCGGCGCGCGACATCACGAACCCCAGCGTGGACACGGCCCCGCCCCTCATCGCCCGCGCCCAACCTGTGCGCTGAGCATGCCGACCACGTAGATGTCAGCTTGGGACCGGTCCGCAGTTCGCGCCATGTTGTCCTTCCTGATGCTGCGAACGAGGTCGACCTCGCAAACGTCCACGTCCTTCTCCACAAACAAGCGCAGCCCCTCGAGACTCCGCTTCGGCCCTGTGAACGCATCATCATTGCGCCGCCACTTCGCACTGCGGCTTAGCGACGCCTTCCTTCGACGCTCCACCTCCTGGAGCACGACGCGGCACATCTCCTCGCTCAAATCATTCACAGCAGTCGCCCCATCCATGATGCTGTCCACGAAGTACTCCATTCGCTTATGTCTCAAGGTGGTCTCTTGGCGACTGTGGGGATCAGTCCACCCGCCGCCGCGCGCCGATTCACGCCGTGCCTTGGCGACGGCCCGGCTACGCGCCACCCCCCCGGCGCGGGCCATCATGTCTTCGACTCCTTGGCGACGCCTCTCGACCCAAGCTTTCTCGGGGCCCATCAGCGCGGCGACCTTGCGCTTGATGTTCTTCTTCGGGGCCCCCTTGTCGATGCGGCCCCATGGTCCTGGGGTGCGAGGGGGGCCGTGCTTGCGTAGCTGCCACGCTCCTTGAGCAACCTCCGCAATCGTCGACCTGCCCATGCACTTCTCCCAGCACGCAATTTGGATCTCATCGTTCTCCAACGCGTCAGAGCAAGAACTGCGCCGCTGCTCCACCGCCCATTGAGGCTGCTTGAACGATCTCTCCACTCGGCTGGAGGAACCGACCCGCGCAGCATACTGGACAAGGGCTGCGCGAAGTGTTGAGATCTGCGTCGTCTCCTTGGGCTTGCAACGCCTCCCCCATTCCTTCTCATCTTTCCTCCTCCCTCTCCGTTCTTGTCCTCCCCCTCCCCCTCGCTCTCTGCCCCCCCCAACCTGCCCGTCCTTTTCCCGCGTTTCTTCTCCTCGTCCCTCCACGGCCCCAAGGGGCAGAAGAGACGAGGCTTCAAACCCCGCGCGGTCCTTGCGCGCAGCCTTAGAATGGGACATCGCCATCCTCCACGCCTCGACGTTGGCAAGACCAGGGCTCGCTTTCTTCTTCTGCAAAGCGACAGGAAGCACGCTTAAATACCCATTCAGCAACGCGGGCAGGTCGAGGCCAAGCGCGTTCGCAATCATTTCGCAGCGGGCCTCGTTTGCAGTCTTCGCCTCCAGCGCGTGCCGCCCAACTGTCTGCAAGTTGAAAGCGTCAGAGGCTGCCATCTCTTCGAAATGTGGCCATTCGGCCTTGAACGTAGCCTGAGCGAGGCGGCACCATGCGACCATGCGGGTTCTGCAGCGCTCCTTGATCTCGGGCGCAAAGCTCCCTGATCTCGAGCTGCCGGGGCCGCCTATGGTCCGCGGATGGCCCCGCGCAAAGATCGCCACTGGCCTCTTCACCACAGCATCGTGCACGAACTTCGTGCACCCGAGGTCGTAGCAATGAGACTCGACGAAGAGCATGGCGATGCGCTGCAAGAAAAACGCGTTGTGGCTCGGCAGCTCCGCCTCGTCTAAGTCGTCGGAATCGCAGGTCCGCGCGCGCGCCGAAGCCTCGCCCCCAGCGTCGGCAAGCATCCCCAGCTGAATTAACTTCTCCTCGTCCACGTAGCCCAGGAAGTCGGCGGCAATGTCGCCCTCCGAGCTGCCATTGCGGACCTGCGCGATCTGCATCGCAGTGGGCAAGCACGGCTCGTAGAAGAGCACCCCGCGGCCCGTCGGCTTCGAGCGGCTGTCAGAGAGGCAAGCGCACATGCTCACGCATTGGATCCGCAAGTTGGCAATGAAATGCCCCTGCAAGCGCGCAACGTTGGACGAGAACCAACTCTGAGACACCTTCGGATACTGGATGAGGTGTGCGAGCGATCTTGCAAGAACCATGCGTTGCATCACATCATTAAGAAATGCATCTGATTTCCAAAGTGTCGAAGGCAAGCGACGAGAAGCATGCGCCCGGCCCCGAGAGACGATGCGCAGATTTGGCAGAGGCGACCAAATCTCTTTGACCGATGGCGCTCGGTAAGGCCTGCCGCGAAGCAAGTTGCCAGCGAGCTGCTCGTCCGGGGCTGCGTCAGCAGAGTAATGCTCGACTTTGTGCTGCGCCGCCTTGAGCAACGCCTGGTCGACCTTCGCCCTCGCCCCGTTGCGCGGCGGCGCGCAGAAGTTGGCGATGATGCGCATCGACGCCTTCATCAAATCATCTGCACCTGCCCCCTGCTCGAGCTGGATGTGGCCGAGCACCCTCTCGCGGACGACGAGGTCGTCGCTGGCCGCCTCGGGCGGAGACGGCGGCGGAGGAGGCGGGGGGCGGCGGCGGCGAAGGGGCAGCGGAGGAGGAAGAGGAGGCGGCGGTGAGCTGAGGAGGTGGATCTAGAAGAAGAAATATGAGGACCCCAGGTGCTTTCAATTTCACGTTTCTGGTCGGGGCGCCAGCGGTCGGGGCGCCGGCAGCAGCCAGAGGAGATGATGGCCTCGCCCTTCTCCTCCTTCCCCTTCTTCTTCCTCCTCCCCCTTCTTTCTCACCCTCGCCCTCCCCCCCCCGTTCCCCCCGCCCCCTTCCCCCCCCCCTCTCCCTCTCCTGCTCCTCCCCCCCCTCGAGCGATTAGCGACATAGTGTCATGTGAGAAGAAAAAGGGCGCCGTGAAGCGCATGAGGAGCTTGCGCTTCCGGCTGTCCTGCGTGATCGTCAAGCCCCTCGCCCCGGCAATCGCGGCCTCGGCGAGGCAGAAAGCCATAGCGCGGACCTTCTTCCTCTTGCCAACGCCCTGAACCCCCGCCGACGACCGGGCCCCCCCTCCTGGAAATGCGCCAAGACGGCCTGGAACGCGCCAACAGAAGGGGCCGCGGGCTCAGCCTTGCCGGACAGCAACATCTGCACTGCAGCCTGGTGCGACTTCGACTTGGACCCGTGCCGCTTGAACGCGACGGGGCGCGGCGTGGCGGTGAGCGCGCCGAAGAGGTCAAACCTCGAAGGCATTTTAATATTTGCGCCTTACCCCCTCTTACAAATGCTATCTACGAAGGCCCCATCCGACCAAATCAGGGGGCAAGGGGGCAGGGGAAAAAAACGTATCCGGAACCTGATGTGACACCCATAGGGCTGGCTTTTTACTGACCCCCACCCCACCCCGCCTGTTGGCCGCCTTGCGCGCCAGACACCTCCAGCCCGTGCTCGCGCGACGCAGCCAACTGCCAAGCTCTGGGCGGCGAGGATCCAACAGGCACCGCGCCGACGAAGGGGGGCGATCAGGAGTGGGGGGATGCAGATGAGGAGGAGGAGGAGGAGGAGGACAGCAGGCAGCGGAGGAGCGACGATGAAAGCCCGAGAAGGAGGAGGAATGAGGACAGATGACTGGGATAAGGATGATGATAATGGCACGGAGAAGAAGGAAGGTGAAAACAATGTCGAGGGGGAGGGGGGGCGAAGAGACAAGAAAGAGGAGGGGGATGATGGAATGCCTTCCAAGAGTCCACGACGGATTCCGACCGTTCGCCGCACTTCTTCAGCAGCCCCATGGCGGCGGCGGCGGAAGGAGCGAACGGCGCGAGCCCGACCCGGCCCCCCACCCTGCCTCCCCCGCCAGGCGCGCTCGCTCCTGGCGACGCGAGGCCTCCCGGCGGTGACCGACCCCTCCCTTCCTCTCAATTCCCTTCTCCCCCCCCCCCCCCCCCCCCTTCTTCTTCAATCCCTTCCTCCACCCCTTCCTCCCCCTCCTCCTCGCCGCTTCCCCCCCCCCTTCCCCCCCCCATTTCCCTCTTGGAGGGCGGGGGTCGCGCCGTCTGCTGCGGCCGGCGGGCGCTGCAAGGGCAGCGCGGCGCCAGGCAGGCGCGGGCGGCGCTGCTGCGCCCGAAATCGGGCTTGATGTAGCAAGAGCATGAAAGGAAGAAGATGGAAGTGATGAGGGGGGGGATGAGAAAGTGGAAGAGGAGGAGGAGTAGGAGGAGGAGGAGGATGAGAAGGTGGAAGAGGAGGAGGGGGGGGAGGAGGAGGAGGAGGAGGAGGAGGTCCGTAGCCATTTTGGCTCAAGTTGAAACCACGGAGCCCTCGGTGGCTTCAGCTTGTTCGCGGCCGAGAGGGCTGGCTCAGACTTTGGGCGCAGGGCCCGCGGCTTTTTTCACTGGGCCTGCTCGGGCCCCCTTCAGAGCGCGCAGTTTCAGAGACCTGGCTCAAATGCCTGCGAGTGTTTCCGATAATCGAAACGTGCGTCCTCGTGCTGGCGAGAGTGTGGATGCTTCTGACTTGGTGGAGTTGCGCGGCCTTGTTTTTTTTCTCGCTCGGAGGTCATGGCGTCCATCGCTGGTATTCAGCAATCTCTGGCGTCGACGTCGAACCAGTTCGCGAAGGGCTGGACTACAGTTGCGGAGAAGCTGGAGACAACATATGAGAGTATTTCGGCTAAGCAGGCAGAGCAGGAGGCCAGGATCGATCTCTTCGAGTCGCAGATCAAGGAACTGCACGGCCTTTTGGGCAATATCAAACGTGCGAAGCCGCTTCCTCCTGCTGCTAGTGATTTTAACTTCGACCGCGACGTCGACCAGTGCATCCTTATCCTGCGCTCCAAGCTCTCTTGTACACGGGCCAGTGTCCGGGCCGCTATTGGTGGCTGGCTCCAGAGGGCTCAGATTGCCGAAGGTGATGTGGACTGGGAAGGCGACGAGACTGGCAACAAGCATGTTATGCGCATCAGAGGTGCCCGCATGTACGCTGCTCGTAAAGACCAGCAAGCGATCGAAGCCCTTCGTGCGCCCGACAACGTTTGGGAAATATTCAAGGTACCAGCCGTAAGAAGCTCAAGAACTGTTCATTTTGCCTGACAAGAACCAGGCCCAGGTCAAGCGGGAGTTGGGTCTCAAATACATCCGTCGCGAGCTCGAGTTGCATTACCCGTCGCTCAAATATTACAGCGACAAGCTCATAGGCGAAGTCTCGACGCAGTGGAAACCGCTGGTCAGAGTCGAGCCCCTTCCAGGAGATGTTCTTCCACGGTTTGAGTTCGCGCTTGAGAACTTGCGTGCTTTCTCGATCGATAAGGAGACGATCTTGTCGGGTGTCAAGGCCAACTATCGTCAGCAGTCTGATGCGCAGTGGTCGGTTTAGCCCGCTCTTCGGGCTCTGGACTACGCCATCGGGGAAGCCAGCAAAGTTGAGATTTGTTACGTGGAATGCGATGGCATCATTTCATTTCAAGTCTCACACCCGCTCGGCCAAACTCTCGCGGGTTCGTGCGCTGTGGCAGGCTGGCAGCTTCGTCGCACTGCAAGAGACCCGCGGCACTTTGCCTGAGGTGCGCGACTTCTTCTACCACGGTTGCAAACACTTCTCTGCCGTTGTCTCGTTATGTGCTTCTCGTCGCGCTGGGGGCTTGGTCACGCCCATCCCTAACTTTAGCAAGTATACCTTCTCATCCTCTACCTCGCGCCCTACCATTACTCGCAATGCTATTGTACCTGGTCGAGCTCTTAGAAGTGATGGTTCAGTTTTCAGCCGGGGTCTGGGTTAGTCACTTCAATTTACATTTACATGGTCTAACGGTAAGCGAACGTCGTCATATTGCTGCTGTGCTTCGTGCTTGCCTATCCGACTCCTACCTTTATCCCACTTCTAGGCTTGTGGTGGTAGCAGGCGATTTGAATCTCGCTGAGAAGGCGCCGCGTCTCCTGGATGCAGCACCCAGCCCGGGCCCCGCGCACGCGGCCCACGGGTGGAGGCCCAACCGAGATCCCATCCTGAGCCCGATCTTTGGAGAGATGCTAGACGTTGGTTCCCCATACCCTACCCACTTCAACAAGAGCCTGAATACCTTGAACACCATAGATCACATCCTCTTGTCGTTCCCCAGCTGGGTCTGCACTCAGTTGTTTTTGTTTGTGGGAAGGCCACGGGGTACCCAGAGGTCCTGCTTGAGAGGGGCATCTCCGACCATGCCCCGCTAGCGATCGAGCTATCCTGCAGCCCTCCCATTCCTCCTGGAGAACGGCCCATTCCACGGGATGTTTTTTCTTTCAACCGGAAGAGTAGACAACTTATCTGAAGCGGGTTTTTGAGCAGACGGATTTGAGCAAGTTCTCTCCTGGGCTCCTGCTGGTTTTCAACGAGAAAATGATGAGGGAGGCTACAGAATACGCTAGGAACGCCATGGTAGTGAAGCGCCCTGAGTCGTTACCCACCCGCTTCTTGATCATGAAATCTATATGCCGTGCTGTCTGGAGACAGGATGTCAAACTAGCTCAACGACTTAGGTGCGCTCACATCTTGGCTCGGCACTATCTTGAGATCGACCTCCTGGGCGGGAAGGTCACGCTCTTGCACGCGCTCGATTTTTTGCAAGGCTCCAATGAGGTTCACCGCTCGATGTCAGATCGAGAACAGAGAGACATACGCCAACAAATCCAACATAACCCTGATGCTCGTGCTGCGGCGAAGCTCAGACGGAGGCTTAAAGGCCTTGTCTCCCGCAGTCGGTTGTGGAGTCCGTTCGACCGCCGACTTGCTCTGCGGGGAGTGTCTGTGGCTGGCGGGGTCGTCGCAGAGCCTGGCGCGATGACTGCTGCTCTTGCGGAACATTGGCGCTCCGTGTTTGAGAAACAGAATATTGCTCGACGGCAGGCTGAACGTTACCTAGAAGAATTTGGACCTCGTGCCGAGTTGCGAGATCTACCTCCTCCTACTCCTTCGTGGGCTTCAGAGGCACCTTCAGAAGTTACCCCACTCGGCTCCTGGCCCAGACGGGCTGCCATTCGCTGCGTGGCAATGTCACCCCCAAGGCCCTCAAGTGCTCGATAAGGTGCTCTGGTGGATTCTCTCGGGTAACGACCCCCTCGCGAGCTTCAACGATGCGCGCAAGGTTTTTATCCCTGAAGGAGTTGAGGAGGGCGACGACACTGCTGCATTCAGGAGTGGGCCCCACACTCGGCCTCTCGGGCTCAAGCAAACGCCCAGCAAAATCCTCACGGGTCTTGTCGTTGAATCGCTTCGCTCATTCCGCCGGCCCGTGATATGGCATCGCTGGTTTTTGTCTGTGTGTTCGTTGCCCATGTTGCGCTCTTGGGGGCGGGTGTCGTTCGGACGCGTTGCGTGGGGGGTTTTGATGGTGAAGCAGTTCCCTGGGGGTCGTCTCTCGATGGGGCGAAATAGAGTCGTCGTCAAGATGCTTCTTTGGGGGGCCTCTTGGGGTCTGTTGAGAGGCCGTTCGGGGGCGCCTGGGAGACATGTTTGACGCCTTCTGGGGCTTCTTTTGGGCCTCCTGGGAGTCTCCTGGGGCCTCTTGGCGACATCTTGGGGCCTCTTGGAGGCCTCTTGGGGCCTCTTTGGGACCTCCTGGGCGCCTTCTGGGACGGAGGGCTCCATTTTTGAGTTCTCGGTATCCCTCCTGAGTCCCTCTTGGGCCCGTCTTGGGGCCTCTTGGTCCGTCTTGGGCGGCACTGGGGCCGTCTTGAGGG